AATAATAATAATCCAGGATAAATATTTCAAAATGAATTTCTTCAAACTTACATCAGATTCGTACAGTACCAGGAACTAGGAAGAAGCGGTCAGTTCCCAGTTCCCAAGTCAAAGGAAGCAAATTCAATTACTGAAATCAAACGCAAATCTGCATTCTGCAATGGAAGCTGACGCTCCCATGAGGCAAGTCCTCACATGTCTTTTTGCTCTTCCCTGTTTTGCTGCTGAAAACGGTATCGTGGTTTGTTCGTCTTCCATTTCCTTGCTTCTTTTTCAGTTAAAGAGTCACCTTCACTCTACAATTTCTTAATCAACACCAAACCCATTTTTCCTTCAGAAATCAAAATTGACAAAACCCACCAAATTCTTCAATGCATTCTTCCCTTTACAATAATGAAGGTCCCCTCCATTCCCTTCCATATTTTCCTTTCTGTTCTTGCTGCATAAATAAGCTTTAGCTCTTGTTTGATTCCTTTTCTCCTTTCTTTAATCTGATATGCAGGCATTGCAGATGGGTTTGTGGTCAATTTGGCTTTCTGGGTTTCTCTTGATTGGTCTGTCCCTATATGCTACACAGAGATTACCTCAGACCATGAAACCAAATTTCAATGGCAGAAGTTATGGTGATCTGGGTAGTCCGAAGATTACGATTTTTTCTGCGCCAAGTCCTTTTGCTGGTTCTGTAGGTACCAGGCAGAGTCTTGCTATTCGTTCATGGCTTGTTCTGTCTCCTGAAATAACCGTCGTTCTCTTTAGCCAAGACCCTTCTGTTTCCTCTTTTGCTGCCTTCTTTGGTTCCAGGGTTTTGGTGGATCCTTACGTTGACTCCACGTAAGTTCATTTTCTTTTCTTTCTATTTATTGAGTGAAGTGCAAATTAGCAATCATATATTCAATGAAATTTAGATTGTTGTATCTAATTTTATTATATTAGTGGTGAATTTGTGGACATTAATTAGTTTTCAGCAGTGAGCATTCTAATTTGAATAGGCTTGTGCTCTGTGTTTTGGTGCTTCTAGGTTTCTGGGCACTCCATTTTTCCATTCCATGGTTACAAGATCACAAGCATTTACATCTGACATTTTCATTTTTGTTGATTCGGAATCCATTCTTTTGCCTGACCTAGTTCAGACGCTGAACTTTGCTCACAAACTTGATCATGATTGGCTCCTTTTTGCTTCATCACGTAATGTTTCCTATTTTCAATTACATTTGAGAGAATATGGGGAGTTTTGGTTAAGAGAGGAGGGAACAAGGATGAGAAATCAGAAGGTAGGAAGGTAGAGAATCCACATTGATAATACTGTTGGAGAGAACTCCATTTGACATCATTGTACATTTCACCAATTGCAGGAGTTATTAGATTGGAGCCGTCAATGGAATTTTTCTGAAGGAAGAATGCTTATAGCGTGGAACAGTGTGGAGCTACCACTACATCATGGAGTACTTCCTCCTTTCTTGTATGGAAGGGGGTTTCATAACCACTGGCTCATTAGTGAGGCCTTGTTCAGTGGAATTAGGTTTGTGTTTGATGCCAGTTGGGCCATCTCAATTCTTTCTTTGGATGATTCAGGGCATCAGCCTAATTGGTCAGTGGAACGTTCCAGTCTTGTGGATATTGAAAATAGAAGTTGGGAACATGCGGGAAATTCCCATCTTGCTGCACTGTATGGATTATCATCTTTTCGTGAAACTAATTATGGTGGTGTGATGAAACTATTGAAATGTGATGGTCAATATCTTTGGTTCAATTCTACAAGCAACAGCGTTCATCCATATATGTACCAAAGAATGAACCTAAAAAAGGGAGGCATCTTCCATTCTAAGAGGTTAAAGAAAACTATGGCTTGCGTTGATGGAATTAATTCAGTAAAGAAAGTATTAGACTTCTCTTTCAAAGATCAGTTGATGCCCTCTAGAGTCTTGGATTTTCCATTTTCCTTAGAGTCGCTCCTAACAATCATTGCAGACAAGAATAAAACAATTGTGCTCACTGTTGCTGGATATAGTTACAAGGACATGCTAATGAGTTGGTCCTGCAGATTGAGGAGCCTGTCTGTTACAAATTTTTTGGTGTTTGCTCTTGATTATGAAACCTATCAATTTGCCATCCTGCAGGTACTTTTTGCTTTTGTTTCTTTTGAGTTGCTTCCTTTGCTACATCAAATGACTATTTTGGTTATCCTCACTTCTTCTTCTTCTTCTTCTTCTTCTTCTTCTTTTGGGGATGTGGGATTCAAACCAAACCCATCTCTTTTGGATGGGTGAACATGCATTTTACCAACTGAACTACAAGCTCAAGTGCTTTGGTTATACTCACTTAAATATTCTATACTCAGACATCTATATGTGGGACCATAAAATAAGATGCCTGTGGTATGATTTACATGGATTAGACATTTGAGTTACCATAGGCACTTTATGAAAACTTTGGTTCTTTACCAGATCCATTTTAGATTGTCTCTAGGATCAGAACCAATTTTAGGATGATTAGAATGATTACAACATCCTGGAGCTGGTATTTCATATTTGTTTGACTATTTTCTCTTCAACACAATATTGTATAGTGGCATAAAACTGAAAAGATTAATTCCTCATTTCCCCTCATTTGTTGCTGGTTTTCTATAGGTGGTTGATTGTCTTGAATCTAGTTGAGTTTCTTTCATAGACATTCTTTTCAGAGCCAGATGGCACATTTCCTATGCATGACTGCATGTATCTGAAAATAAAAGTTTTTGTTTTGTGCTAGGGCCTGCCTGTGTTCAGTGATCCAGAATCAGCTCCAAGAAACATTAGCTTTAATGACTGCCACTTTGGAACAAAATGCTTTCAGAGAGTTACCAAGGTGAAGTCCAGAATGGTTGTAACAATACTGAAGTTGGGATATAATGTACTTTTAAGTGATGTGGATGTGTATTGGTTTAGAAATCCATTGCCATTGCTCTTCTCTTTTGGTCCCACCGTTCTTGCAGCTCAGTCTGATGAATACAATGAAACAGGTGATTTTTAATTGAGTACCACTTTTTGAATAACCTGTTACTTTGAAGTCGTAGATGTTTGGACTATGGACTAGCATGTGCTAATAGGTGGAATTTAGTAGTCATAATTTTTTTTTTTTTGTTTTTTTGATTAGCAATTTAGTAGTCATAATTGATCTTCATTGCATTTGCAGTAGTTGGTGTCATGCTGATATATCTTTATCAATGATAATATGATTGATTTCTATGAATAAACAAACAGATCAGTGTTTAATCTCCTTTGTGAATATCACTTATATACTGTTATGTATAACCCTGGTTAAGGAAATCTCTCTTCAATTTCTAAATTACAGTTTCATCTGCAGGACCTATAAACTTACCCAGGCGCTTGAACTCTGGCTTCTACTTTGTTCGTTCTGATGGTCCTAGTGTTGCTGCTTTGGAGAAGGTGGTGAAACATGCTGCTACTTCTGGCCTATCTGAACAGCCAAGTTTCTATGACGTATTGTGTGGGGAAGATGGATCCAACCGTTTGGGTGACAATAAATGTGTGGAACCTGAAACCAATTTAACCATTCACTTCTTGGATAGAAAGCTCTTTCCAAATGGAGCATACTTGGGTCTGTGGGGGAAAGAAAATGTTACAGCAGCCTGCCAGAAGAATGGTTGTCTCATTCTTCATAACAATTGGATTAGTGGGAGGACAAAGAAGCTGGAGCGTCAGGTGTCTTCAGGACTATGGGAGTATGATACCAGTACAAGAATGTGCCTTCAAAGCTTGCATAGGACCAAATTGACCGGTTATTTTGACATCTAGTTTGGGCGTTGACATCTTTTCATCATGGATAACTTTAGATTTCTCATGCAGGAGAACAAATGATGCTACTTATGGCTGTCTTGTGCTTTGTTTTCATCAATCCTCTGTTGGACAACTATTAAATTACAAAAGCTAGCTGTAATGTACAAAGGTTATACGCGCAATGGGCAATGCAGGTTCATATTCAAATACCTTAAAGGACAAATTGAAGAGTGGCTCCATCATCTCCTGCCACCAGACTATAATGAAGCATATGCATCAGACAGCTTTATATACCTCCACTACCGAGGATGGGATCAATGGACCTGCTAAAAGCAATGAAGAGGGGTCAGATGCAAGTATCACTTGGGAGTTAAGTAAAGGAGACAGAGAAGCACGTGTTTATTCTGCAAAAGAATTCTATGTTTCAAAAGTTTCCAGGAAGAGGCGACAAAGAAATCCATCCTGTAGAGGTATTATGATGAAGAAGCCTTTTGTACCTTCACCACCGCAGATAGGATCATTGAAGGAATCAGGATGGGAACCAAGCTTAACTTCTGTACAATAAATTTCTCCATGACTTTTGCCTCCTAGCCAACGCTTCATCACTCCTTACTTGGTATGTTATCCCTGCAAGACTTCAGAATTGCTTATTTACTTATGTTAGTTTCTTAAAAAGTTTGCAAGGCAAATAATAATGGGAAACAAATTGAAGACCTGAATTTTCAGTTTGTTTATCAATCTATTTTGTATCATGGTTTGAAATATTTCAACTTGATAACATTACCATGGAACTTGTTATTTCAAAACAAATTTATACAAATCGAGTCGCTAGAAATTTATTCTTGTGGCTTTGTTAAAGATCGAACCTTGTCAACAAGGCACGGAGTAAGCCCCTATACCAACCAAGCTACAATCTATTAGGTAAAATATCTTACCCACATCACTGCTAGAAGCACACATTTGCCACAGGTGAATGAAATACATTTGCCACAGGTGAATGAAATACATTTGTTTGCCTATTCAATTGCAAGAAAACTTAGCATAAATAGGCGAGGTAAACCATTGTTCCTCCTCTCAATTCCTAGAGGGAAAACATCATTCTTGTCTTCTCAAATCCAAAATATGATGATTTCCATGTTTAGGAAATCATCTTGGCTCAAGAAAGCACAACACTCCCACAATAGGGAAAAGAAGAAAAAATATGGGCAATTTCAATTCATCATTGACAATCAACCTTGTTCTCTTTTCATCTATTAAATGTACAATCACAATATAAATGAAAAAAGCTTAGTCAAGATCCATGTGTAGAGAACTGCAAAAGTTGCACCAGCTGGAATTGTCACAGCCCAGGAAACAACAATTTCTCTCACTGTTTCTGATCTAACACTGTTCAGTCCCCTCGCGAACCCCACCCCCATGACCGCTCCGACCAGAGTATGTGTAGCTGAGATTGGCAATCCTAGCTTCGATGCGAACAGAACCACAGAAGCTGCAGCAAACTCAGCTGCAAACCCCCTTGTTGGTGTTAGCTCTGTGATTTTTTTCCCTATTGTGGCTATCACCCTGTATCCCCATATCATAAGCCCTGCAACAATCCCAAATCCTCCCCACGCCAGAACATCTATAGGAATCACAATCTCTGTCCCACTGGCATTACCGTGAAGAATGGACAAGGCAGCAGCCAGAGGGCCTATTGCATTTGAGACATCGTTTCCACCGTGAGCAAAGGACATGAAGCAGGCTGAGAGAACCTGCATGTATCCAAAAACCCCATAGACTATTTCTAACTGGGTGCCTTTTGGCCCTGCAACGTTTGAAAGAAATCCGAGGTTTTTAGTCTGAACTGTATTCTCTTTAGTCTCTTGTTCTGATGAAGTGGATTCAACTAGGAGATGGCCTAGCTGTCTTTTGATGATTCTGTAAACAATGATTGCTCCGGCGGCTCCAGAGGCTAGGGCTTGTGCGATAGACACAGGAAGGCTCTTGCTTAAAGGGAAGGCTGCAAATGAGATTCCTGTAACACCTACAAAAACAGCTAGTGGTGCAGCTGCTGCCGCGGCTTGGCCAGGGTTTGGAGCACTGTAAACAAACTGAAGAAAAAAGGTGAACCCGAAGAGGATGCATCAGAAAACATAAGCAGTTTTGCTGGTTTATATAATAGAGATAGAGAGCATACCCTGCGGATACATTTGTATACAAGAAACGAGACTAATGCTCCCAGTACCGGTGAGAACACCCAAGATGAAGTTACCCTTGCCAGGGAGCTCCAGAAGACAGCACCAGATCCTCCGTAAACAAGGCCAAATCCTACCATTGATCCTACTATACAGTGTGTTGTGGAGACAGGCCAACCATAGTAGGATGCAACCTGGTAACAAGGAATTCATTAACAGACAAGAACATTTAAAGTGCCCTCCTTTAGCCTAACTTGAAAAGAGTTCTTCTACAGTAGAAGTAAAGTTAGGCCGCTCAAATGCTATGGGCTTTTAGAAGCTGAAACTGCAAATCCAAACTGCCTATATATTGTTATGAATCTTCTGCCATTGTCCTGATCAACACTACTTGTTAATCATAATCTGTTTCTTCAAGCATAGGATACATTGTTCCATCAAGATGGAGAAACTGAGTGACATATACTTAGAAGCAAGTGCTAGGTCATTAAGATGGAGGAAAGTAAGAAAATGAGCATTTGCCTCCAAGGATGTTTCAATTGGTAAAAACTTGAAATTTCAAGTTAGAGATCTCAAATCAAATTTTGAGTCAGGTGGGGGAGGAGATTTAGGAAAGGGGACATCCATCCTTGTTATATAGTTTCTCATCAAATATGACAAAACAAATGAGGATTTTGATTTTGCATTGATAGCATTTCTCATTTGTGGGGTATATATCATGTTAGTATATCTCCATAATAAACAAAGTCATAGCCAATACATCCTCTGCCTCAATTGAATCTTAGAAAAACAAACTAATTCAAGGAGGCTTAGATTTCGATGAAAAAACATGTAGGTCACAAGAATGACAAGTCAGAAGAGATAGAGTTCAAGAAATGCACCTGCAACCAAGTACCAGCAGCAGCTAAAGAAGAAAGCAATCCTGCGAAAAGCAATGTATTCTTCCCTTGAAACACATCAGCAACCAGAATCCCCTTCTGCATTGTACTAGTCACATGAGTCCCCATCAACAGCGCCCCGGAGAACTCCAAAATGGCAGCAGTTATCACAGCCTGCCGGAGGGACAGCGCCCCGGACCCAACAGAAGTTCCCATGGCATTAGCCACATCATTGGCTCCAATATTCCAAGCCATGTAAAATCCAAACAACAGCGTCACATATGATAAAGCTTTAGTCTTCAACCCCAGTCCCTGCCCCAGGGACTTCATGAAAAGTGGGAAACTCAGAGCAGCAAACACTATGCATATAGAAATAGCGGAGGCTGTGCTGGAAGATATATCGAAGGCCTGAGCCATTCCAGGCAATTCATCCTCCTTTGTTTTGGCATTCCCCTGATACTTATCCACATGGATTCCTTCTTTTTGTTCACCTCCACCTTCTGCATCTGCAAAGGAAGATATGCTAGCAAAAAGGTTAGTGATTTTAGAGTTCTTCAAGCCCAAAAGTGGAAGATAATAAGGTTTGCTTGGAAGCTGGTGACTTTTGAAGAAAAGGATATCTTTCTTTGGGAGTGTAGATTCATTATACCGGTGTCTGGGGAGATAGAGACGGGGATTAGTCCTGGTGGAGGAGAAACAAGAAAAGGGAGTCATGACTGTGAGAAACAGTGTTAGGAGGGGGGAATATGAAGGGAATTATTCAGGTGGATTCTTGGCCATGGAATCTGGAAGAGAAAGAGTAGGTGGTGGAGGAGGTAGAAAGGAGGAGCCTGCATTTTGGATTT